CCCTGGTTGTCCTGGTTACATCAGCTCAATGGCGCCTTGGCTTTGGAAAAGACACAACAACTTCTCACCTCCCTCAGTTTGGGTCCTTGAACATCCAGAGTGTACTGTTTTATTTTCCAGAAATATCTGGCTTGAATTTCGTTTTATAATTATCACCCTAGCTCCACATGAACGGTGCTGTCTTAATGTTCCCTTTCTTTACTGAGTTACAGATTTTGATGAATGGCAGTGCCACAGTAACTAGAATGACTGCTTCTACCGTTGAGTTTTTGTGAGGTCCAAATCTCAGGGCTTTTCTGCCTGGGCTGCATGAGAACATGATGCCATGTTGTACCTTTCTTCAAAAACAGATAGTATGCTTTGAGATATGTTTTGTCAAAGGCAGAATTAAAACTTAAAAAAGTGAAACTGTACAAGAAAATTGTACATTCTCCTTCAATGTCACATTACCAATCTAATGCGGCCAGTATAGGATGAAATGAGCTTCAATTAAAGCATAAGAGATTGTAGATAAACATTTCCAAAAGGGTTTTGGAATATTAGGGGGCAGAAAATACTAACATGGGCTATTGGGATGGGTTCATTGTACTCAACTCTCAACATTTGCAAGATGAGACAAAATTTTGTGGAAGGGGTCATTTAATCATTCACTTCTCTGAAAATAAAAAGAACCAGTGTTCCTTCAAAGCACTTTCAAGCTCTAAGAATCTGATTATGTGGAGCAGAAGTGGTGTTGGGGGAAAAAAATGCATGAGGAAGCAGGTGGCTCTTCCTCATTTTTTTTTTTTTTCATTGTAGAAGCGTTGAGTGACTGCCACTTGGTAGGTAACAAGGAAGCAAAGCATTCACGGGACTTGCCCGCTAGTGTTCTGAGGTCTCCTAAAACTTCTTAAACGAATCAGGACACGTTCTCTTATTTAACTACTATGGGGAATATCAGAAATCATGTATTAATTTTTTTACTAAGCTAATTTTTTTACTAAGATGATTCAAGTATACTTGACATATTAGTTAACTTTGGAAAAATAAACTTGTTGGTAAATCAGACCTTATCATCAGAAATGTATAGGATGCTGAAAAGACAATTTCTTTACTTTTTGTTTCACCATTGATATCCTCCATGCGCAATGGTTTTATGTAACAAATATGCTAAAAGGTGATTTTCCAGTTCTTCCTTAACATGAAAAGGATGTGTATCTCTTCCTGTGCTTTGAGACACAGTACATCTTCCAGACAGAAAACTCTGCTGGCCTGTGTCAGGAAAGCCATCCTTGTGGGGCACTCGCAAGTGTAAATATAAGTGACTATTCCACAGAGAGACTCTAGCAGTTTCTGAAGTGTCAGGGCAGAGAGCAAATGAGACCCACCTTTCCTGGTTTCACTGCTGACCTTGCTTTTGACACGCTTCACCTGAAAATAATAATAATAATTCCCAACCAGTGTGGAATCAGGAGCAGCACCGTGGGTAGGGGGGAAATCGCTTCAACTTTATGATTTACCAAGTCAGTGAAATACTTCCCCCAAGGAGTTCTAAGTGGGAGTTACTTCAGTTTATTTTGACACAAATAAAGCAGCTGAGCCAAAAAAAAGAAAAAATAAAGAAAAAGGTCCATAAAAGGCCAAAAATATAAGTAGAAAGTAAAGCAACACAAAAATGAGACTCACAGGCTCACAGCTTTACAAAATGTCCATTCTATAATTGCAACATATTTGGAAAGATGGGGTGTCGATTTGGGGACAAAGAAATACTTTCTTTGCTGTGACATCCACATGGGCATGAGGGTAAGGATGATTGTCATGCTTAATATACAGATGGAGATGGGACATCCTCAAGTTGTAAGGGATCAGTTACCAGACTCATCAATTTCATTCTGCAAATAATAAAGACAATGAATCCACTTAGGCTAGTTGTTTCTCTACCAGGGTCCCATGGCCTGTTGGCAGTTGACCTGGAGTTCTTACCCAGATCTCTTCATTTCATTTTCAGCCATAAGTGCTAGTTCTTGGATTTCTCTTGCCTTTTCCTCATATTAACTTGAAAAGCTAGTAGGGAAGAGCAAAGCGAGGGATGATACTGCCAAGAGTTTTAAAGCTGAAACTACCCCAAGCTTGCAGTGCACATTTCAGAAGCTCTGTGTTATGAAGCTTCTCCTACTCTATTCAAGAAATGCGACCAGTGAAATGGCATGGTTGCAATTGTCCCTAACTATCAGGGAAATAAAAGCTTGAAGTTAAAATATTGATTCTGGGAATCCAGCATGCATTGACTCAGGTATCAGCACTTCAACTTGTCACATTCCAATGACAGGGGCAGTGCTAAGAGATATATCCATTCTATAAAATTCAACCTGTTTCTGGTACTCGGGAAGCACTCACAAGCACAGCAGCAATGCCAGTGATTACCATACTTGAACGATGCTATGTTTTGACTGAAAGATCCTTCAGAGGTTAAAGGTATCTAGACAGACATATCCAAATTCATATTTAAGTACTGTCACAATCAATCTATCCCAGTAAAAATAGGTAATGAACAAGGACCTACTGTATAGCACAGGAAACTATACTCAATAACCTATGTGGGTAAAGAATCTGGGAAAGAATGTGTACATGTATACGTATACGGAATCCCTTTGTTGTACACCTGAAATTAGCATGACATTGTAAATCAAATATACTTTAAGTAAAAAAAAATTTTAAACAGCACACCGCAATCATATCTTTTTCTGCCTAGCAAATATAAAAATCCAGTGACTCAAATTTTCTGAATGAAAGAGAATGCAATTCGTCATTTTGGCTGCTCTAGCTAAGTAGAGGCCTTTTTTTTTAAACCACTGAATCATACAAACTGGAAATATTGGGACTTCAATATTTTTGGCCACCTGACACTTCTAAACAGGTTGAACACTAAACAACAAAATTCAAACCAACAGACTAAAATGGCCTCCAACAGCATGTTTTTCTTCTTCAAGTACATTAAGACAAATTCAATAAATCAGAGTACCATCTGAGATGGAGCCTATTGGGAAGAAACATACCAGAAGCAGGTGCTCTTGCTGCAGCTGACCTTGGCTCCAGCTAGAGCAAGGTATTTCTCCAGACCCATAGATATACTCTTACTCATTGCATTTGTGATCAGTTAACAGAAACATCTAGAGATAAAAACCCGCAAGGAAACACAGCTGCCTCTTTTCCCTTTCGACTTGCACAAAGTTTGTCACATATTCATATCATTCACATATGATAATTTCATAACTACATGAAATTTGCATGAAGGGATTAAAAAATTTCCATCTTTATATACACCTTTCAGCCAGAAAGATTCATCAGTACTGCCTGAAGATAAATTAAACTTTGGCATGGAATATAATTTATGAAAATTGCAAACTACTTGAATTGATTACACCAAAAAAGACATTAAATATTGATGACTAGCAAACTTATTCAGAGCAATAAAATGTGATGTTTAAATAGAATGAAAACATCAATATAAATTAAAAAAAATATTTTAATACTAAATCATATCACTGATGTAGGTTAATTGAGTACTTTTTCATCATAAAATCATTTTTAATCACTTATATCTTAGTTCCTGATGGATAGGTAAAACATGATAGATGAAGAAAGAAATATGATTCCTGTTGGAAAGAGAGATTACAGATTCTGTTACTTCTTTTCTTTTAGCTGGTATGTTCTTAGTGACAGATTCCCTCAGAGTTAAAAGTTGCACAAACCCAAACTTAAAAGAAGCAAGTAAGAAACACCCATTGATCGCTGATGGCATTTCATTACTAGCAGTAAAGCTATGTAGTGTGAGAGTTGGTAAAATAAATACATAAGGAAAGAAAAGTAAATCTGGGTATACTGGCAAATTTTACACCTAATTTATGCTACTGTTCTAAGCGTCTGAGTTTCAAGTTTTATGTAAGAGCAGTGCCTTGGTTTTGATAATAATACAATACCCCTAACATTTACAACTCTATTTGTCTTTAAAGCTTTATAAGCCCTGCTCAACCTACTTTCAAAAAATCCTTTCTAAACTGTAGCTATAAGGCGGACGTTTCCTACCTGGACTAATGTGGCTAAACTCTCTCTCCCTCTCTCTTTCTGCCTCTTTGTCTCTCTCACACAGCACACACACACACACACACACACACACACAGAGTGAGCTCTTTGAAAAGAAGTTTCATTGCACAAGTCATCTTTCAATTCCCACCATCTGACAAGGTGCCTGATTTGTTTTTGGTGCTCACTGACTGCTTACGGAATGAATGAATGATTCAGTGAATGATGTTTGAGCCTTCCCAGGCCCTACTGCCAGCAGTGGCAGCCAGTTCAGAGGAACAACTTATCTAAAGGTTGATTCTGAGTCTCATGGTGGAAATGACCAGTGGAGAGACGTCTGCTTAGGGACCAGGGCTGCTTTTCTGTGCAAGTTATCAGGCAGCTGCCTAAGTGACGTGATTTCAGGGAGTATCAAAGAAGCGCCTAGTTTAAAAACCAGTAGCTCCCTCCACCACCATATTACTGATGCCCTAAATCCCTTGGAGATGCTGTAATGTATTTCATTACATGGTTATCAATAATTATCTGGAGTCAGGTATCACTAGGAAGGGTGAATGGTAGCCCACTGACTTAAAGTCAACTTCTAATAAGGTTTAAATAGCTGATACATCTTTTCTCTAAGAGTAGGTTTTGATTATAGGGATGAAAAGTAGTAGAGGTTCCCGGACATCTGAGAATATAATATGTACAAGGAGAAAAGATACAAAGAGTTTGAAAACCCCTCAAACTTTGCTAAGAGATGACATAATCTTCCATTGTTGTAGCTAATAAATCTAGTAAGGAAGAATCTGTGAAATTACGTTTATAATTATAAATGCCTTAAGGAATATTTTAATCATTTCCCAGGTCTAAATTAAAATAGTAATTTTCCTTGGGCCCGGTTCCACAGTGGTCTTGTAGGGTTTTTAGCACACAGGGCACCTTAAGATGTCCCCTACCTACAAACAGCTGGCTGTTGAGCTGTAACCGGAAATGGCCCTCCTCTGAGGTCTCTCTGGTCATCCTTGGGAGGTTGTCCACCTGGAGTGAGGTCTCCTTGAGGTTCCTCTCGGCCTGGACATAATGCCATTGGTTGTCATTCAGAGGAGAAGAGGACTGGACTATGAGCTCTATGGGGCCATTCCCAACATCAATGGCAAAAGTGATCTCGGAAGGAGCTGAAACCAAAAAGGAAACAGGTAAAAAGATGAAGGGAGTTGTCAGTGCATTTAGGGCACAAGCATACCCTGAACAAATGATAAAAACGATCGTACATCAACAGCTAGGTAGAGAGGCCTTCAGATGAAATCCCCTCAGTATAAAAACTACCATTAATGGTAATAACTACCAACTACTAAATCTCAAGCTCTTTTTTTTGTCCCAGTTGGTTCTCATTGTGAGAATTCAAGAAATAGGATAGGGACCAGGGTCACTGATGCTGATCTGACAAAATGCACCTGCTCCAAGGTTCTGGGTTTTCTGGATCTCTTCTGACTTCAACTGTGTCCTCATGGACAGCTATAGATACTTGGTTAGCTAAGCAGCTACACTCCTGCGAGGAGAAGACCACACCCTGGAAAGTCCAGTGCTTGGTATTATTCATTATGCATGTTATAATAATGTATTTCATATATATATATATATATATATATATATATAAAACATATTATTATGTGTATTATATATATTATTATTCTAAAATGTATTATTTCATCAATACATATGATACAAGAATTCATGCTATTCCTATGACTTTTTTTTTAAAAGGAGGCTCAGAAATTTTAAGTGCCTTGTCTGCATCACTGCAAGTGGCAGTGTCTGGGAACAAACACAACCCTATCCCCCCAACTCCCCATGCAGGGCTCCTTCCATGACCCTTTCCGTCCTTCTATAGCAATCTGCTTATCGTACAAGACAGGAAAGAGCCAGTCAGGGGTAATGTTACCTGTGATGATGATGGTGACAGGAAGATAATAGTGGTGGTCATGATGGTGATAGTTGTGGTGGTGATGCTGATGGTGGTGGTGATGCTGATGGTGGTGATAATGTTGATGGTGGTGAAGGTGATGTGGTGATGGTGATTGTGGTGATGGTAGTAGTGAGGATGGTGGTGATGGTGATGGTGGTGATGGTGGTGATGGCGGTGGTCGTGGTGATGATGGGGATGGTGACAGTGGTGTTAGCACCATTAACAGAGAGAGAGAGAAGTAGCAGCGCACAGTGGTACAATGCACTCTGAGGAGCACTGCCCATAGATTCTCTCATTTTAATCCTCAAAGCAACTCTATGAGAAAGGTCTCATTTTTATGCACATTTTATGGGTGAGAAAATGAAAGTTCAGAGAAATAGAAACAATTTGCTTGAAGCTGCCTAGAGAGTAAGTAGAATCTGACTCCAAAAGTATAATCTCCATCTTTCTTCTCTATTTTAGTATACCTTCTTGTATTTTCTTTCATTATGTAAGAATTCTAAATCTGAAGGATGTGGAGAGGTAAATTATAAATTAAAGTTGAGGGGAAGACAGTCCTCTCTCAGGAACAGGAGCCTTCATATTCCAGACCTTCCCTTCCTTATCAGCACCTTGTGATGGCCCCCCTCCTTTACACCCGAGATAGGACATGTGTATTTCTTTGACAAGGTCATCAACTAACAGATCTGAATATTCAGCAATACCAAAGGTCAGTCATCACCCTGGACCACTCCTTTCTCAGGCTTTAAACCCTAACAGAAAGCCAGCCTTGGTATAAGAAGCCCCCAATATGCAGAACTTCAAGTAGCAGAGAGTTTGAATTGCTTGCCTTCCTGGTGAATGTGAGCCCTGACTGCAAAGAGAGGCAATAAGATAGAAGCTTTACAAATGGGATTTGAGACCTGGACTCTGGCACCCTCCATGATCTGAGGTAAGTTTTCGAGCTTGTCACCTCTTACTTTTATCCTTTGTAAAATGGGAATAAAAACAATACCTAATTGTCAGGTTGTTTATAAATTCATCCCGACAAAGTTCTTAGAACTGTGCCTGGCGTGTAGGATGTACTCAACAATGATAGCTATCATTATTATTATCATCACCGTGGCATGGTTCACCAACCCACGTCAGTTGTCTTTGGCTCATAAACCCATGCATTAACGGAAACAGAATTGAAGGGAGCAAATCAGATTCAACAATTGAAAGATTAAATAAGAGTGAAGTTGGCCCTTTGAGCCATTGCCTGTTTCTTATCAGGCCACCAATGCTACCTTGCAGCCCTGCTTATCTTGAGACCAAATAAACAATTACTGAGGTATTGAGCATAAGTGTATTTCTCTCTAAAAACATAGGTAAAAACTCTTGAAGTTGAAGGGGAGGAATGCTAAAGATTTTGCTAAAAGCCTTCCTGCAAAGCTGGGCTTGTGGATATCCAGTTCCATGCAGATAGCACATCTCTGTGGAAGGAAGGCTTGCTCCACTGCTGTGATGGCCTGCCACCCCCTGTCACCACTACCTCCTTGTTAGTTTCTGGTCTGCACTTATCTCTGCCCCTGCATTTATCCCTCTGTTGTATAATGATCTGGTTATAGTCTGTCTCCCCAGCTAGTCTGCAACTTATAGATGAATTGGACACCCAGAACTTAGGATTGGGCCTTGTATACAGGAAGCTCCCATCAAACTAAAATTTAATTCATTAAAATGTTACCCTGTACACACTAAATGCAATTTTGTAATTTTCTTTCTTTCTTTCTTTCTTTTTAGTTTTATACCAAGGTGTTAGGTTCCTTAAAAACCTTCTAAAATTATTATTATTTAACTTTATTCAAGTCACTATTAAAGACCTACTATGTTCAACTCACTTCTCCTAGAACTAGGGGAGAATCAGTGAAATGCAATAATAATAGCTAATATTTATTGAGCGCTTACCATGACCCAGGCACTCTGCTAAGCATTATTCATGAATCAACTCCCTACAGTCATATGAGAAAGGTAATATTTTACAGAGGAGGGAACTGACCCACAGATAGCTGAGAAGCTGCTCCAACCCAGAGGGGGCAGAGTCAGGATTTAAATCCAGGTGATGTGTCTCTGGAGCTCACTTTTTAACCCACTTGTCCTATGAGAAAACCACCATCCCCAAAACCTATGCAGTCCCTACCTGGCAGTCAAAGCTAGATATATAATATGGGTGCCTGGAAAAAACTGAATGAAAATAAATGTAAGTACATGGTGATACCTCCAACACTGGCTAGTGACTTGGAAGACAGGACACCTGAGGCCAATGTCAACTAGATCTCATTTTCTGGGGGGATGGGCATAGCTCAGTGGTTCTAAATGGGAAAGCTGGAGGCCCAGTGGCAGCATTACCTCTATCATGAATTTACCATCTTCTCCCCGCAACTGTCTGACAAATATCCTCCCTTATCATTTACACCCTATGGTTCAAGACAACGCGAAGGAATCACTGGAGTCTTTCAGTGGGTTTTTACCCAGCCAGGGCCTGTGCTAAGCAGAGATGAATGAAACAAAATGAGCTCATGGTGTACTTTTGAGAAGACTGACCAAGAAGGGGCATGTCAAGTGGAGGAACCTGCCACAGGCATGAGAGATTGTACACCAAGTGGTCCTAGGAGATGAGAAGATGCCTTCTAAGGCTCCGGTACAATGCTCTTCCTTCCTCAAACTGTGACACCATCTCTGTGTTCTCAGCCCTGCACAGGTCAGGCATGTGAGATGTCTCAGGCACCATAATGGAATAAAGAAGAAGATGCAAGGCCTTAATGTAGTCTCCTAACCTCTCTGACCTCCCATGTATTCATCTGTAGAATGAGAAGTAAATGAAATATTGTTAAACATTTTAGGAGACATGGACTCTTGGAGGCGCTGATGGCAGCTGTGGCTCCTATTCCAGAAAAAAAGCACACACAGTTTTGCATTAAGTTGTAAAGACCTGCTGAATGTCCTATGCCTCAAAACATGGAGGAAAATCATGCTATTTTCTCACCTTCTAACATTCTTGGCTCTTGAGACAGTTTTGCAAAGCAGAGTAGGGAGTTGTTCAAATGAACAGAGAATTGAATCCTGGATTCTGAATCTTACTGGGTGATGCTGGGTGTGTTATTTACCCTCTCAAGGCTCACCTTCCTCATCTACATATTGGACTGTGAGTTGAACATGAAAATAATAATGCAATATCTTGATGATTATAGATGAGATTATTTGAAAACAAAATTAAATAATGAATATAAAACATTCAGTACTATGTCTAATTAGAGTACTCAACCATTTAGTATAAATGTAATTATTGTTAGAATTAATCTTTCCTATTCTGGAGGATCTGAGGATTGTATCTTCAAGTTACCATCACAGTTGGTAATATTATTGATATGATACATTTGAAAGTCAGAACTCAAATTTCTAGATATATAGATATAGATGAGGACATAGACATAGATATAGATTTAGTTGTTCCTCCATCCCTCCTCCCCTCTCTACCAAGAGGACAAACATTAATCACCTGGAGACAATGTTAGACCCTATCAGCCTCGAGATGCCACCAGAAGAATCTACATAACAAACTTGACTAACTAGCTTTTATCTGTACTTTCAAAGCCTAAAACTGCTTTCCTTTATCCTATTATTTTTCCAAAAATTTATTGTTCTCTCTTATAGATGTCATATGGACTGGAGGTCTAAGTCACCTCATTGAGTCACTCCTTTCCTCTGGGTATCTCCCATCCCTACATGAGGTATACATGTTAATAAACTTCTGTTTGTTTTTCCTCTTGTTATTCTGTCTTTTATCACATGGTTCTCAGCCAAGAACTCAGACTTTTAGGAATGAAAATGATTTTTTTTTCCCCTACAGGCTTTAAGGTCAGCTAGCTGCCTTTACCACCCAAGGGGTAAGGCTGGGCTCTGGCAAAACCAGTCTGAAATCTTTACTTCCCTGTCTAGAGGCATTTGTTCCTAGGTAGTCAGAGGACTTGCATATCAGGAGGATTGTGTGGACAGCTGGCAAAGAAGTGCTTTCCCACCAGCTGAAATGTGGCTCCTTCTTGAGGGAAAGATAGCCTTGACGGAAGTGGAGATTCAGAAGTCAGAGCAGGGAGATAAATAAATTAGACCACTGCTAACATTTGTTAAACTCCTGAATCCAACCAGAAATAAAGTTCCCCACCAATTCCGGACTTGGTCACCTGTCCTGGTACCAATAAATTCCCATCCTTGTGTCTACCAGTTAAGATTGAATTTTCTTTTAATTGCAGCCAAATGCATCTGATCGACATATGGGCATCAACAATTCCATTTTCATAAATAAGCACTGAAGGGGTGAGGAACTTGCTCACAATTAGAGTTAGAGAAACAGAAATTAGAATCCACATTGGGTTCTCACCAGTAGTCTCTTTCTGCTATGCCATACTGATCTCAACAGCCATTTCCTTCTCATCCCCCATCCACTCCAAAATATCTGTTTCAACCTGCACAGCCATTATGAGCTAATTGTCAAAATAGCTATTTTTTTCTCAGTCTCATTTGGAACAAATCCATTAAGACTTGAGGACATAATGAAACATCTTGCCTTTCATAGAATATGGACTAATCTTAAAGCTACAAAATTCAAATGTCTTAGTTGGAAGTGACCCAGAAAGAAATAAATTGAAAATTTTATGTAAACTTCTTGTTCCCTGTCCAACAATTCGGATACATCAATTTTGAAAACTTCTGTTCAGATAGTTACAGAGGAATACTCCTTGGGGATGAGGAAGAGATTTACTTGAGAAATATACTACATTTGTGTGAAGGCCATTTTCTTTCTAAGAAGATGATCTGTAGAGGAATCTTACTATGAACACTTTAGGGTGAAAATTCCGTCTGTGTAAAAGACATAGGTTGAGTGCAGCTGTTAGTAAGAAATGCAAGATAAGCCCCATTTGTTTGTTTGTTTTTCCTTTTAAATAATAATAATAAAACAAAATATTTTGAAAATTTTGAGGTCTCATACTTTAAAAAAGTTTATACAAAATCTTCCTCTTTCAAAAAATACATATTCTCTGATCTGGTGAAAAAGTGTGCACTGCACAATGACATCAATGGATTTTAAATTTTTATCAGATTTAATACCACTTGCACTGAAAATATTTTTGTGCAACCCAAAGGACAAAATATAGTATGAGGAAGTTCAAACAAATTGGACACTGAAATATAATTAACACGAAATCATCACTCATTACCTTGTGATAATATGTCATGACATTTGCTGCTGCTTTAATGAATCGAAAGACCTTAGGGCCTGATTGTTATTAAATTTACATTGAGGTTATTATATCCATATTATGAAATGGCTGGCACTCAACTCCACATATTTAAAGCCTGGCCAAGGTAGCTATGAGGGATCTTATTTCACACTAAAGCCACAAGAGCTTCCTGCCATTAATAGTCTAAATCATTGGAGTAAAAGGAGATTACAACTACCAGTTAAAGAGATGCCTTTCCTTGTATTGGGCTGTAGCTGCAGAAGAAACACTTAGCTGCTCTGTGCTCTGCAGGAGACATGCACTTCAGCCATCTCCTCCAGCCAGCACTTTTGTCTCTTTTTCTGGAGGTCTCAAATTTCCACGTTTCTGTTGCTAAGACATTATTACTTAGGTTTTCAAGGGTATTTCATGCTGTCACATTATTATTGTAATATGCTCAATTGCCACAATCAAATCATAGAAAACATGCATTTAAAACCAGGTAAATGAGGCACATAACGAAAAGCATAAGTCTTCATGGTCATGGCTTTAATAAGGGCTAGATGGTGGGAGCAGTCCACCTTGTGTATAAGAAAGAAGTGGGTATACTGAATGCAGAGAATCAGAAAACTAGCAAAAGCAACTAAAAGTAGACCTGTTTTTTATTATTGCCACACAACAGTAATTCTAAATAATGTCAGCAATGAAACATTCCTCCACCGGGGGTGGGGGGGGAAATTTTGTAGGTTTAAGTTGTAACAAATGCTGATGTTAGTATTAATTTTTAATAATGTGTAAGCGTCAAAGAGTCCATTTTATTACCTACCACATATTATATTCAAGAGGGAAGTTAACATAGAGAACTCCTGATGTACCATTGGCTCCTGAACATGCAGACTAAAATATGTGTTTGTTTTTAAGAATAAGAGCTCAATTTCTGATTTCCCCTTTTTACAGTTACTGTGCTATCATTGTTTAACTCAGATCTACTGTTGAAACAAGGAATATATAGTACCACAGGGGCTGTGAACACAAATTGCACCCAAAGAGAGCTTAAGCAACTCCAAAACCTTAGGAACTCTGTAAGGTTTTACCAAGTAGAATAGTAACCCATGATGAATTTTCTAATAAAAATATTTTAGTGTTTTTTTTAATTTCAGAGCTACTTGAAAGATGCTAACATTGATCATGAAAAAAATACATAGAGATTATAGCAATTTCTGGAATTTATTGTAAAATGGGATTTTTATGAATCTCTATCAAACTTAGCCTTATGTTTAAAATCTTTTCTAAAATGTTTATATCTATTGCTTAATGTGAAAAACATTTTAAAGTTAATAAAAAGTATCCTTTGATCAGTAAGAGAGAAGATAAATGGACAAATCTGATTATACTCTCTTTTGAACATGAACATGCAAAGAAAATCAATTCTGATGAACTCACTCACAAATTTACATAAGTCAAGTCTAAGGAACAGAACTTTTAATGTTACTAGTATTACTTGAACAGACCAATATGTAGGTATTTTTCCCTTTTATATAAAAAATGAATGAATGAGATTAAAATTCTTTATTGTATTGTGTTTCTTTTTTGTACTGGAATATTTTTATTGGCATGATTACATATAGAAGTTTATTAACAGAACACTTCCCCATCTGCATTTGTACTACTTTTCATTTAACTTTATGATTATTTCTTAATATAACTTGTATATAGGAGATGGGATGTTAAAAAATGATCCATATCCTGACACCAAACTCACTAGATACACCCCTGTTCATGGTGAAGTGGTAGAGAAACAATGGAAATTCTGATTGGTCAATCACATACTCCTGGCGATGGGAAATAAGTCAAGAAATTACTTGCAGAGAAAAAGTACAACAAAAATTTGACTTCAAGTATAAATAGAATGCAGAATACTAATGTTTTCAGCTTTCCATAGAAATTGCAATGAAAAAGTTCAGTGGTGTGGAAGCTTAAAAGAATAGGTAATAAATGCCCATGGATCAGATAAAAGACACTGTAAATAAATATCTATGGGAATTTTGGGAATGCACTAGTTTGAGGACAGAATGACTCTTTAAACACTGATAAGTAATAATAAAACAAAAAGCATAAGGAGGAACTAGAAATTATCATTGTTAATTTGACAGAGGCCCAGGGAGATTAATTTGATAATCTAGTTGTTGGTGGCAAAGATAAGATTAAAACTTCTGTTGACTAGTTATATTAAATTCATAAATGAGAACACTCACAGCTTATTTCAAGTCGGATGAAGTCTTTAATGCCAAGGTTTTCTAGGAAAACTCCAGATAAAGCCGTGGTTTTAAAAAAGAAGGAAATGTCAGCACTGAATTCCGCGTGGAAGGTAGGAAAGTGGAGGTAAGAGGCTTCTGTATAAAATGATACCGCATTCCAGAAGTGTCCTGCAAATGAAAAAAAATCCTGAGTATGGTTCATTGTTTTTGAATGGCGTACAGGAAAGCACTGGGCATGTAGATACTTTTCAAGACTGGGGGACACTGCAGGGAAAAAGTATAAGGGAATAAAACATCTTGTGCTTATGTAAGACAGAGAGAAATCTTCTTTCAATTTAGTACTCACGGTCACCATAGCAACGCAAGGGACCAATTCTCCAAGCAGCTTCTGAGTTTGATCTGTTGGTATCAGTGATAACTATCTGAGTGACAGGCAAGTGGTCTTTGAAGGAAAGAAAGCCAGTATCATTTGTCCTGCAAAACATAAATTTAAGAAAAGAAAGGAGAAAATGTGGATAATCTAGGGATTCTTTAACAAGCCTCCTCTTTTCAAAAGTGATTTGGCTGGTTGCTGCAGGGTTAGGGCAACAGGGGAGTAACAGAGCGCCTTTCATCTCATAGGTATGTGTGAAAGTCTGGGATGCCAATTACAAAACCCATGGCCAGCTTCCAAAAACAAGAGCATTTTACATCTTCCTTAAGTCTTTCCAGAAAAGCAGATAGTTTACAGAGCTTGCTGCTGCTTTTTGTAGCTCACAGCACCCCACCTGCCCAATGCAGTGCTGATGGAACATGAAACATTGCCTCTCTTTCCATGAAGAGATCAGCTATCTCAGTAACTAACTTGAAATAAGCATCACAAAGCCACTTAAAATCACTCCAAGGACTTGTTTCAGCCACCTGCCAGCAGGTTTTAATCAGTTTAGTATGTTTCTTATCACCTTTTAAGGTGGTTTGTTGCTTTTTTTTTTTTCTGTTTTAGAGACCTTTGTAGTTAATGACTCTGGCTTTGTCTCTGTTAATTACGCAATTAGGAAACTGACTAGTCATCCTTTGACAAGAAAGTTAAAAATGAATGGGGTTAAGCTATTCATGTTTTCCTTTTTTTTTTAAACATCTTTATTGGAGTATAATTGCTTTACAATGATATGTTAGTTTCTGCTTTATAACAAAGTGAATCAGCCATACATATACATATATCCCCGTATCTCCTCCCTCTTGCGTCTCCTTTTTTTTTTTTGAGTTGTGTTTTTGGACTCATGGTAAGGACACACTATTTTACTGAGAGTAAAAAGGAAATGTAGGTAGGAAACTGACATTGAATGAATATGCAGTGATTTTGAGCCAGAAGTATACTAGGGGAAAAGTAACACACCTATGCAGTGGGTACCATTATTTCTATCACAAATGAGGAAACTGAGGCTAAGAGATATGAGATAACTTGTCTATGGCCACAGGGTAGAAGGGGCAGGGGTCTAGTCACTTGGTGTCTATCTCAGCCCTAAATTTAACAAGTATGCCATAAATATATGTTAATCTGAGCTGAACTGAATTATATAAGGCAGTCTGATAATTGCACATGGGTGGGTTGGACTGTTCAGCCACACAGCCTCAAGTAAGCACAGGATGGATCATCTTGTCTGTTCCTGGGAACTGGGAGACACAGCACCAAGCCACAACAATCAAGGCAAGGTATATGATGTAGCAATTTGTTTATGAGAACACAGAGGAGCTAATTCATATTGGTTCTCTCTCTGTAGACACAAAGACGTCAACACAACACTCAAAAAACACTCAAAATCAATGTTATATTTCAGCATCCGTTGCATATTATTTACAGCTCTGAGACTAAAGACAAAGAAAATAATGTGTCAAATTATGAATTAAGGATGCATGGCAAGGTTCAAGTAGTGTGATGAAGTGCTTTAAGGACATAGATTTAGAAGCACACAGATTTGTTCTGAAATCCCGGATCTCCAGTTTCCACCTGCATTAGCTTGGGCAAATTATTTTATTTCTGAGATTCCACAGTATCCTCAGTTGAAAAATGGAGGTAATGCCCATATCACAGAGTTATAGAGAGAATTAAATGATATGATATAGTCGCGTTGCCTGATCTATGGTAAATGCTCAAAAAATAGTAGTGTTAACATTCATTTGAGTCCTCATTTTTGCCCCTGAATCACTGCAGCCTCAGGCAAGTCAATTTATCTTTTCATACATCAAGCTATGATTCTGTATTGGAGGTTTCCACACTATGGAAAATTAAATGTTAAGATTAGACATACAACTCCTGAGATCTGTAGAAAAACGCACTAATTCATCTTGGTTATAAACAAATCAAATATTCACCTGTACATATACCCTTACAAGTCTATTCACCCAAAATGTAAAGAAATGCACTATCCACTGTCTGTAATTTGAGTACCTGTATTTAGAGGCCAGTCAAAGGATGTGGAATAAGATTCTTGTGTCTATTTGAAAGCACATCTATGAATGTCACATATACACAGAATAAAATTAGAATCTTCATGTTCTAATATTTTTTCAAGCAGACATTGCAAAGCAAGTTTCAAGTAACGAAAGTGGAATAAAGACCAAACTCCTGTAGAAACTCTACATTACTATAGGATTTTATTTCTCCCTAATTCTTCTTTCATTTTCAAGGTGAAAATGGTAGATTCTGAAGTCTGTCCAGCAGTGCCAAGCACTGTCTCCCTCATACACTATGGCATCTTGCCTGTATCAATTTGATGTCCTGGCGCCAAAGTGTTGGAATATACAAAATTGCTCCAAGAATAAAAATCTCTTCCAAATAACAGAGAAAAAGAACTTCATATTTAGTTTGATGATGCAGAGCATATTACCAAAAATACTTTTTTATATAAAATCTAAAAATCTCTCCAAAGTTGTTTAATGTGGTAGAAACAAACTCAAATGCCTACAGGGTCAAGGAAAGTAATAAAAATGAATGAAGCCAGCTTTGTGTTAGGTGATAAATGGGACATGACAAACAGCTTCAGTGTCAGGGAGAAAGAGAGAGAGAGAAAGAACAAGAGGAAGACTGGGAGGAAGTAGTATTCTGTCTATAGGAGACGGTGATAGTCATTCCTAACAGGTAATTATGCTCTTCATGAATGTAGGACCAGTGGGCCAGACTGGAATGTCAACGTAAAATTTCTCAATTTTTCAAATCATAGAAATGGATTTAAAATTCTTAAAAAAAAAAAAAGTATGGTGGGGATCAACACTGCAATAAAACTGACCAATAAAACACAGGTGGGCTTCCCTGGTGGCGCAGTGGTTGAGAGTCCGCCTGCCGATTCAGGGGACACGGGTTCGTGTCCTGGTCCGGGAAGATCCCACGTGCCACGGAGCGGCTGGGCCCGTGAGCCATGGCCGCTGAGCCTGCGCGTCCGGAGCCTGTGCTCCGCAATGGGAGAGGCCACAACAGTGAGAGGCCTGAGTACCGCAAAAAAAAAAAAAAAACAAAAAAAAAAAACCCCCAAAAAAACACAGGTGAGGGCTGTGTTCATCCTACAGGCCACCTGGGCATCAAGAGGCTTTGCAAGTTCATTCATGCTCTTAGCATCACAGTGAGAATAGTGTTTGGATTTAATTCAATGTGTGAACGACAAGGCTGATTCAAACGTTTCACAGTATTAATGGGTAGAATATTTGGGGGGTGGCATAAAAAATGATACAAACTGCAGCTGTAGAGTTGATGTTCTACACACGAAGTTGTTTTCCTTTGGCTTTTGTATGAACTTGTCTTCTCAAGGGCAAACACTTTACAGACTTTGTCTTCCTTTGGAAGAATATACAAGACTCTTCCTAAAGGCACAGGGTGCTTATGTACTTTATAAGTACAAAAATGATTGTGTTGTAGTGGGAAAGAATTGTCAGACGGACCTAGCTTAAAACATGTGCCTCAACACACGGGTTGTATGATGTCATGAGGTCAGCCTGGGACTCAGTTTCCTAATCTCTTAAATGGGGATAATAATACTAATTCGATGTTGTTGTATAAATCAAAGTAGATAATGTATATAAAACTTAACATGTTGACTAACACATAGTAAGGATTCAATAAATAGCTATTGAAATTCCCAGTCAAGTGTGAAAAAAAAATGTAAAATACAAAGAATTTTTGAAAGGAAAATAAGAAAAAAGTGCCCCACTGTTGGCCAGCCAAAGATCCCAGCTTATGGAAGCTTGAAGGGCACAAAGAATAGATAACAGACACATGGTCCTCAAGAAACACATGTGACCTAATGATAAAACATGCACATTAAGGAAAAGACTCAAATATTCTCAAGAGAAAAAGTATGGCACAGAATTAGCCAATGTGGTCTCCTCTTAGTTTTTCTATCTGAAACTAGGGACTTTACCAAAATCAGGTTTGCAGAGCAGAACAGGGGCTACTGATTCCTTTAGTGTATCATTAAAGTGCAGTGAAAACTCATATACTGCTTTTTTTTTTTTTTTCCTGTCAGCCAGTTTTTGGTTAACTGCTGCAATTCTTTTGATAGCATCATTTGGGTGACTGAGCTTATTAAGAGAGATTTTTTTTTCCTTTTTATATTCTTCTCTCTTTCAGTCACCCAAAGGTAACATTGATAAGGAAGATAAACCTAGAAAATTATGCAAAGAACTCAAGACCTCAGGTCCCTTGGAAGCCCTTGTGTGACTCTGAATGAATTATTCTCAGGAAACTCTGCATACCTTTCTGTTGAGTGGGAGACATGAAGCCCTCCATTTGCTGTGGCTGCAAAAGAGGTATAGCCAGGATGAGGCCCATAAACAGCTCTGCAAGTCTAAATGCCATATCAATGCTTGACAGTAATTCTATCTTAACTTTGGTTAAGGCCTTATTTCCCTTTTGTCTTCCTTATTGAGACTTAAAAAAAAAGAAGAAGAACCTAAGGGATTAGATGACAAGAAGCTCACAACGAGCTCAAGGGTCACTTGGTTGACAAAACAGCAAGTGCAAACGTTGACTGTGGTCACATAGACAAGTCCACACCAGAGGATAATATCCCTTTAGCTGCGCCCCACACTGACCAGGCCATATCCAGAGTCTTGATTTCAGTCCCTAGTATAAGAAACATGAGGGGCAAAACAAAATGATGTTGGCATATATTTAACATTTTCAGAAACTACATTTCTTCTGTAAATACTTTAAGAAAACTGAAGCCATAGGGCTCTTCTCAAATAGGTGTGAGAAAACAAAATCTGGTCTTGGTATATGAATACAGCCAAAGTTTACCCAATACTACTTTATTGTTAAGAAATGTAAACGGCCCTCCAGATTTTATGAGTATAAAACTGATTTTAAAAAGTACTAGCAAGGATGAAGGTTTTTCTAGGCATCATTGGATTAACCTGTTCTGGATAGGAAAGAAAGAAAGAAACATTCAGTAGTGTCATAAAAGCTCTTCACAGAAAGTCTGCATTTTTTCTTCTCTCTCACC